CCAGGAACACAACGGGTGTTTTCGCTGCCGCCAGTTAGGTCATCAATAGACCAACTGCCCCAACGCTAGCCGCTTTACTCGACCGGCCCCTCGCTCCACGGGACCCGGCCCTTCTACTCCCACTTCTTCCTCCACCACGACAGTCGGGCCCTCCCCCACCTGAACACTGTCCCCCTGTCCCTCACAATCCTCCCCAGGCATCGACCACTTGTCTGCCGGCTCTCCCATCGGTGACGATCTCTCCTCCACCGGTGGCTCACTCGACATCGACTATCCATCTGCCTAACCCCCCTCCGTTGACGCACATCCCATCGGACACCCCCCGGGCGACGCAGTCTACTCCGCCTGCCCCCCTCTCGGCGATGTCTGCTATCCTGTCGGTCGAGCATCCCACTGGCACCTGCTCTTCTACTCTCAACCCTAAACCCCTGTATAAACCCTGCTACAACCTCGCAACCCCGCTCTACACACACCCTCGAATCCAGTCCACCCTCCCCTTCACCCTCATTCCTGATGTCTGATCTGCCCTTGGCCTCGCCTAGCCTTGTCCCATCTGTCCTCTCCACTACCTTGTCTCTCTTGTCCAATGCTTGTGAACCTGCGTGACGCCGGCGATAAAGGATCTAATGGAAAGCGCACGAGGACGATGGCCTGCTGCCTCACTGTTCATGGAGATTATGCAGCTGGTTTGGCCACCATGCTGTTTCATCGGCCGGCATCCCGACTCGTGGACTTACTGGAGCAGCAACTTGTGACATGGATGTTTGCATCAGTCTGCGACTTCCTTGCTTCCAGATCAGACCTCATTGCAGTTCGTGTACCGGAAGCACCCTAGCACTTGGACTTTGACACTTGAACTACTACCACACTTCTTGGACTTCTACCTGTCGCAGCCGCTGAAGACCGCTTCTACCACCTACTCCAAAGACCTGATCAAGACCGCTGCAGACCCCCTTTCAAGACACTTGGACACTTTGTTCCTACATGAGATTCTGCTTCCGACTCCTTCGGACACACCAGCCCTTGCATCCTGAACAAACGTTCTCATTCTTATTTTTCCTGACTTTGACAATCCTGTAGAACATCATTAGCAGATCCCTGTTTCCCTAACCATTGTTTCCCGTACCCACTAGAACATTGATAGACATCCCCTGTTCCCCTGACCATTGTTTCCCTTACCCACTACAACATCAATAGAAATACCCTGTTTTCCTGAACACCGTTTCCCTTACCCAGTAGAACATCAATAGAAGTTCCCTGTTCCCTGAACTATGTTCCCCCTTAACCTATGGCAAACCATGCAGTCCCCCTAGTTCATCAGTAGGACAACCCTGTTCACCGGTACCAAACCCTGTTCCCTCTTACTCCCACAGCCCATGCCACCCACATTATACCCCTCTTCCCTTTCGACTTGTTAACCAGTGTTCGGCCCCGTCCCATCCTTCACAGATTTCAGCATTTTTGGCAACCGGGACGTTGCCTTCTAGAGGGAGCGGATAGTGTTACGGACTGCCAGGGCTCGATCCCTGGTCTATGTTTTTGCTGTTCCGGCTGCATCCCGTTTTCGGCCTGGCACCCTTTTTCCAAACCCCTCCTTTGGTACCATAGGATTTTGGACAACTGGCATCATGCTGCAATTCGGGCGCCGCTTTCAAATACCGCATTTTTCAGTTCTGCCCTTGGGGCCTTTGCAGAAATGCCCCTGGTGCCGTACGTGTCACCGGTACTTATACCGGCTCCCCGTATGGTACGGGGACCAGTCTGGAACCAGTTTTCTGCTGTACTCATACTCAGTGTGACTTGCTTCGACATTGTGTTCGGAAATCCAAGACTTCGACTTTGCGACTTTGCCACTTCGTGTCTGCGTCCGTCGAGTCCTGTCGAGTCTGCGTCGAGTTGAGTGAGTGTGTGTGTGTGCTATCACTCTCTCCCTCTCTCTCCCAGCGTCGTTGCCCCAGCCCCGTCACACAGATGGCAATACCAAGCCCCAGAGGAGGATAGGTGGTTTCCCAAAGAACAACTGCGTGAGACCGCACCTTGCCAAGTTTCGCATTATGAGCAAGCATGCAAGGGGATTCCTGAGTTTAACAGGTAGCTACTCTTGATGCTGTCATCGTCGTTTCAACCTGACGAACCATTTTTTTCAAAGGAAAGTCTTGGTAAGTATCTTCTGGCTAACCAGAGTAGCTCATTGTAGACCACCATTGCCAAATTCCTATAGCCTTGGCACTTTCAGCTGATGCTACTTCTTGAAGGACCTCTAATGACCTCAACTTTAAACCTGCGGGAGCGAAAGGATTCACGCGATGCTGCAGTGCGGCCTTGGTACTGTGTCCCATTTTCTTTTGTACCTCAGGGCCCAGGTAGAAGTTTCTAGTAGGTGTCCTTCGGGACATCCGTTAAAACTGGAACGATACAGAGAAGATTAGCATGGCCCCTGCACAAGGATGACACTTATAAATCGAGAAATGGTTCAAAAAAAACAAAAGTTTCCAGTAGGTACTGTAGAGGACAAATTTGAGATCCGGTAGGAACAGTGCAGGGTCCTTGTGGTCAGTAGGTAGGAAGTTGCGACGTGTCCGGTCTTGATGGGATGCAACGGGCCGAATCTCTCTGTTGCCACCGCAGGGCCTGGAGGAAGAGCCCAATCACGTGGGACGCAGTGGCACAGACACAAAAGGGAGGCCAGTATCAGGAACGTCCTCTCCTTCGATTCTGGCAGTTGTGGAAGTGCTCCTGCGTTGTCGGGCGCAATAGCTGTGAACTTGCATATTCACACGCACACACTTGGCGCTGAACCACACAAACGTGGCCAACCCTGCATTTTCTATTATATTGCCTATCTAATATCTATACTTTTTCGTTATGGATGGCTTGTGATGATTTGTGAACGGAATGAGAGAGAGAATCTGGGGTCTTTTAAAACAACACACATTGGCAGATTTGAGCGGCTAGGATCGGGCTCGTACTAGCGAGCTATTCTCTCTTTTTGTGGTTGGATATGTCTTGTTGGTTTTGTTGATTATACACAGCCTAATTCTTTGCCCTGCTTTAGAGCATGGGTTGTTTGGATTTTTACGGGTGGCCACAAGTTCTCTTTGGGGGGAATATATATTTTGTGGGCTGGCGTCGAAGGCTTTCCCAGTTTTTTCGGACCCTTAGCAGGGGGGGTCGGTGCGTTCTTGCTGGAGGAGTCTTCCGTCTTAGGTAAGTTGTCTCTTATTTTCTTCCTCCTCTTTGGCAGTGACGCGAGTGTGTAGTTTGAGATGAATGTCGGGAATGCGAATGCTATTATATTTGATTGTTTTTGGTAAAGGGGTTTTTGTTTTGTGGGCTGATGCAGAAGGCTTTCCAAGTTTTTTTCGGACCTTTGAGGGGGTCTGCAATCAGACTTGTCTTTCCCGACACTCAGCATGCATACAAACAGATGACGATTGCGCCCGCAGAAAGATCAGAGATAACGTAGCCAAGAACACAGTTCAGATTCCAAATTGTCTCGTATGGCTATGGTCGTACACCATACTCCCAGCAACTTGTTCGTACACACACACTCTGGATCTCCCTGGATGTCCCACACACACCAACACAACAAACACACACATACAGTCTAACACTCTAGTCTTACTGACGTGGCGGCTATGGCCACCGTCTCTCTCCTCTACCAACTAACTGTAGGGTATGGCCGATCTTCCTCCTCTTAGCCCTCTTTGTCAACGGGCACCTGCAGACCTCCGTACACAAGACGCTCTGACAGCGCTTCCGCACGGCTCACAGGCAGAATGAATGACTGACTGATCGCTGCCTCTTTATTTATACTTCGGATTGTCGCTGGTTTGAGCTTCTCCACCGGGCCCGGAGTGCACACAGTCCCACATGGTACTTTCTGACTTGACAAGGTGCGACTGGGACTGGGTACCACTGACTAAGCAAGGTAAGACTGCCCACTTGACCACTTGCCTACGGACTGACTACTAGGACTCACGAAGGGCCGATTCCGGATCTTCCAGAAGGCTGAGGACTTGACCCTTCGACACTGTAGCGGCTACGACCTTGGCCCTTCACTACTGTAGCAGCTACAACTCCTGCCACTGCTACGACCTCTGAGATACAGACCTACGGCTCAAGACCCGACGACCACACTAGCTACAGCAATCAAACACATGACTTTCAAAACACAGATCGCGGGTTCAAACAAGCACGGGTCAACTGATATTGTACATGGGTAAGGGTGAGGTCTAGGGATCGAGCCCTGGGATCTGCATCTGCTACCGTAAAGGTGAAAACCGTTTCAGGGTCAGGTCGGTGTCTTCTTGCTGGGGTAGTCTTCTGTCGTAGGTAAGTTGCCTTCTGCCCTCCACCCTCTTATGGTTTGAAATATATATGTATACATATGTATATGTGCAAGTGTGCCGCTTTGGCGGCAGACGGTGTCTGGGCACTTGGCGCTGAACCACACAAGCGTGGCCAACCTTGCATTTTCTATTATATTGGATGGCTTGTGATGATTTGTGAAGGGAATGAGAGAGAGAATCTGGGGTCTTTTGAAACAAGAGTGTGTGTGTGTGTGTGTGTGTGTGTGTGTGTGTGTGTGTGTGTG